CCCTGACAGAGCACCCCCTTTCCTCACCGCGCTCCACAGCCCAGTTCCTCGATCAACTGATGAAGCGGAGGCAGGATAGTGGCTACCTCATTGAGGAGATCGGAGATGTACTGCTGGCCCGGGTGAGGGTGCCCAGCCCCTGCCCCCCCCGGGAGCCCCTCCTCCCAGCCAGGGACCTGGAATCCAGGCCCGAGGAGGCCAGCTCTCAAGCCTCCCCTCCATCAAGACCCGGGGGTCTGGGCCCCTAGCCCTGTCCTCCTGTCTAGGCCGCTGTTCCCACGTGAGGCCCTGCTCTCTCCAATCCTACCTGAGACGCCCTCCCTGGCCTGAATCTCACTATAGTTTGATGGTGCCGAAGGCTCCTGGTTCCAGAAAATCTCCTCCCGCTTCTGCAGCCACCAGTCATTTGCCTTAGAGCAGCTCAAAGCCAAACAGCGCAAGGAGCCTCGGTTCTGCGCCTTTGTGCAGGTAAGGGGGAAGCCTGGACCCCGGGGCCCCGGAGGGGGCGGGTGTCCCAGTCCCCGAGGTGAGCCGCCTCCACACTACTCTCCCCTCAGGAGGCCGAGAGCCGCCCACGGTGCCGCCGCTTGCAGCTGAAGGACATGATCCCCACGGAGATGCAGCGCCTGACCAAGTACCCCCTGCTCCTGCAGAGCATCGGGCAGAATACAGGTACCGCGGGCCCCGCTCTCCCATCTCCCACGTGGCTGTGGGACCCGAGCTTCCGGGGCTGGAGCTCACCGGGGCCGGTCTCTCCTCTGCCACAGAAGAGCTGGCCGAACGGGAGAAAGTGGAGCGGGCAGCTGAGTGCTGCCGGGAAATTCTGCACCACGTCAACCAAGCTGTACGCGACATGGAGGACCTGCTGGTGAGCCCGCGTGTAGCCCTGGGCCCAGGGCACTGGGACGAATGTGTGCAGAGGTTGGCCCGGCCTTTGTCTCGTCCTCCCCGGGGCCACTTCTTGGGAGGTCGGGCCCAGCCCTTGGGTTGTCCCCGTGACTCTCCCTTCCCTGCCCCAGCGGCTCAAGGATTATCAGAAGCGCCTGGATTTGTCCCACCTGCGGCAGAGCAGCGACCCCATGCTGAACGAGTTCAAGGTGGCTCTGCCTGCCCTGGCCTCCCCTCCTCTCCTCTCCCTTGCCTTCCCCTGCCCTCAGCCAGCCCTGACCCTCTGGCCCCAGGGAGTCTCCCATAACGCACCCAGGGAGCGAGAGCCACCCCTGTGCCCTGCGCCCCTCCTCATTCCCAGCGGGTTGCCCCTCCCGATGATCCCCGACTACAACCCTGGCCCTGTGAATCATCCCGACCCTCCCCTGCCCTCGCCTGCCCTCGCCTGCATCGACCATGACTCCTTCCTGCCTCCAGAACCTAGATATCACCAGGAGGAAGCTGGTCCACGAGGGCCCGCTGACGTGGCGGGTGACGAAGGACAAGGCTGTAGGTGGGTGCTGGCGCCGAGTGGGGCCCAGGGGCGGGGCACTCAGAGCGGGGAGGCCGCTGAGCTCCAGCCTTGCCCTGCAGAGGTCCACGTGCTCCTGCTGGACGACCTGCTGCTATTGCTCCAGCGCCAGGACGAGCGGCTGCTGCTCAAGTCACACAGCCGGACGCTGACGCCCACCCCCGACGGCAAGACCATGCTGCGGCCCGTGCTGCGGCTCACGTCCGCCATGACCCGCGAGGTGGCCACCGGTGAGGCCTGGCCCGGCGGCCCCGGGCACACCCGCCCGTGGAATGGGAGGTGACCCTCTAGAGAGTTGGGGAACGCACGTTCTAGCACTTGGGAGGCCGCTGCGGAGGTTGAGAAGGGGGCGGTGTGAGAGGCCCCCAGCTCGCCATGGCGGGGGGGCCGGGCCGGGTTGTAGATCTTAGAGCTACACATGCCCGCACAGGAGCAGCCAGCTCTGACCGGCGTTCGAAAAGACACCGTGGCTGCTTCTTGGGGATGGTGGGGGAGCAGCGGTGGGGGCGGGAGCCCAGTGAGGAGGGGTTTGCACCTGTGCTGCCGGGAAGCTGCACCAGGGGCTCCGGGGGTTTGTGTGTAGAGCTAGACTGGGGACTGGCTGCCTGATGGATTAGGGGGAGTGAGAGGGAGGGACAGACTGAGCTGGGGCGTCCGAGGCCACCGCAGTCAGGGGCTTGCCCAGGCTCAGGGGAGGCACAAGGTGGGGTGACCCTGGCTCCGAACCCCGCCTCCCTCTTCCTGCAGATCACAAAGCCTTCTATGTCATTTTTACCTGGGACCAAGAGGCTCAGATCTACGAGCTGGTGGCCCAGACCGTGTCGGAACGGAAGAAGTGAGGGGGTCTGGGTTCTAAGCTTGGGTGGAAGAGGAGGTCCAGTCCCCGGGTCTCCAGTGGCAGGGCTGGCGGTGGGAGGCCCTGACACAGGGTCTGGGGGGCTCTGACTGCCCCGGGGCCTGTCTCCCCAGCTGGTGTGCCCTCATCACGGAGACCGCTGGATCCTTGAAGGTCCCTGCCCCTGCCTCTCGCCCCAAACCCCGGCCCAGCCCAAGCAGGTGAGGGGCCTGGGAGGCAATCGGAGGGTTGAGGAGCTGGGGGAGACCTCTTTCTGTGCCCCCAGAACCTGAGCTCTAGCCCTGTGTGTGTGTGTGTGCACGTGCGCGCACACCCACCACCCCGTCACAGCCCATCTGGCTCCTCTCCAGGTCCCTCTGTCTCCATCTTCCAGCCTCAATTTCTCTTTGTCTCGGAACCTCCCTGCCCCCTGCTGCCCCCAGGGCTGTGGGGTCACCCAGTACTTCTCCCCACAGCACCCGGGAACCCCTGCTCAGCAGCTCGGACAATGGCAACTGTGGTGGCCGAGAGATGCCCCCAGCTGACGGTGAGCCTTTTCGGGGGGTGCTGGAAGGGGGCAGGATTGCCGAGGATACCCGGCCGGAACTGAGCACCCTCCCTGCTCCCCCACCCAGGCCGCATGGAGAGAATCTTCAGCACCCTCCTGCCCTACTGCAGACCTGGCCCTGAAGGCCAGCTGGCAGCCAAGGCCCTTGAGAAAGGTAGCCCTGTGCCGTCCCGTCCTGCTGCCAGCCGGGCTTTCCAGCTCACCTCCTGCCCGGGCCTGCATGCCGGGCCTATACCACCACCCTCAGGGGGCCGAGCCCCTCCTTCTGCAGCTCTGTCCCTTCCTTGACCTTTCAATTCACCCTCTCCCAGGACGCCCTCTTCCATGCCCTCCCACCCTGCCCCAGCTCTAGCCACGGGCTCACCTCTGCACCCCACCTCCCCTCTTTGCCAGTCCTGCCTCTGACTCTGTCCTCTTGTCCCTGGCCAGTGCTGTCCCTGAAGCAACTCCTGTTTCCCTCGGAGGAAGATAGTGGGGCGGGGCCTCCCCGTGAAGGGGACGGGGTCCCGGGGGGCGGCCCCCCGAGCCCGACACAGACCCAGACCCAGACCCAGGAAATTCAGGAGAAGCTGCTCAGCCTGGAGGAGACCATTAAACAGCTGGAGGTGGTGGCCTGGGGGGAGGGTCAGAGTGGGGGGGAGGATGGGGCTCGGTGGAGGGACGTCACTCATTGATGACCTTTCTGCCCCCCCCAACCAGGAGGTGGAAGAGGAATTCTGTCGTGTACGACTCCTCCTGTCTCAGCTTGGGGAAAACCCTGTCCCCCAGCCTGGCTGTACCTGAGGCTTCCTGCCCCAGGCAGGTGAGTGGGGGAACCAGAGGCCCCAACGCTGCCCACAGGGGAGGGACCAGAGTGGGCATCTCAGGGCTCCCTTGTCCACGGCCCCGTCCATCTCTCCCCCTTGGTCTCGCTGCATCTCCCCGTGCCACCTCCTGGCCCTCAGCTTCTGCTTCTCGGGCTCTTCCGTCCCCTCCCTGCCCATCCTCTCCCTTCCCTCTTCTCTTTGCCCCCCACCTCTGTCCTCCCCTCCCCACCCCCTCCCCCCCCCCATCTCCCTGCCTTTTCTCTGCTGTCTTCATGTCTCCGCTCCCCTTCTCCGCCAGCCCCCAGGCCTTCCGCAAGACTGAGGGCCACCCGCCCCCACCGCACAGCTGCCGCAGCATCTCCAACCCCAAGGGCCTGAGGAGAGGGAGCCAGGCGTGCCTGGGGGGGCCCAGCTGGGATCACTGCCTCCCCCCAACCTCCCATTGGCCTTGGCCTTCTCTCCCTCCTGCCTTCTGCTTGGGGGACTCAGGGCTTCATTCCAGGGCGGACCCACGGTGACCTCCCATTCCCCGGGCCAGCTCTGTATTGCCTGGGCTTGGGCCACCCCTCCATCCCCCCACCCCCAAGTGCCTTTGCTCTGTTTTTATACCCTGAATTGGAGGTTTATTTTTTAATATATATTACCTAAGGAGAGGTCTGTGTGTGTGAGGGTGGGGTGGGGGCTCTGGAGTGGCTTCTGGACCCTCCTGGGTTGTCTGACATCCCCTTCTTCTCCAGTTCTTCATTCACTGATTCCTGTGCTTTAACAGAGACTCCCAAGGCCACTCCTCCCACACCCTGAGCCCCCGCCGTCACCCATGACACTGGGCTCCCCCACATCTCACACTCCTTTCCGTTCTTTTATTTTTGTAGTAAACTCTCTGGAGGTGGCTGTTGGGGGTTGTGGGGAGGGGGCCCTCCTGGGCAGGGGCTGGGGGCGGGGTTATTGCTCTGAGCTCCCTGTCCCCAGGGGGCCTGTGTGGGGAGGGTGTCAGGACTGGGGCTGGCACAAGAGCAGACATGGCCGAACGAACACGCAGGTCACAGCACGGGGGTAGGCGGGCAGGAGAGGCTGGGCGCCATATTGCACTTTTGGAGTGGGGCCAGGCGGGGAGCCCCCTCAAACCGGAGCCTGGGAAAGAGGCTGGAGACCATTGTGTCCCCTCCCCCTCTGAAGGGGGAGGTGAGACCCCAACCCAGGGTTAGGAAAGAAGGTGGGTGACCATGTGGCCGGTCCTAGGAGGGGCCGAGGGCAGGGCCTTGGCCTTGGGCAGGACATGGAGGGCACACTGGACCAGGGCAGAGGCTGCCCCCCCCCCCCAAGCCCCCACCCTGGCAGAATCCTTTACCCCACAATGGTTCAGCTGCCGATCCCCCCTTTGCTCGCCTTGGCCTTGGGGGGCACAGGGAGGCCCTCGTCGCCCTCGCTGTCAGAGCTGCAGCCGCTGACATCAGTGATCTCCAGCTCCGAGTCGCTGTCCTCCTTCCCACCCAGCGCAGCCTCTGGACCCCCAGCTCCGGGCAGTGCCAGGCGAGGGGCGGCTGCCAGGCCCGAGGGGCGCTCAGGGCCCAGGCCCTCCCCTGTCGCAGCCAGCAGGGGTGAAGCTGTGGGGCCTCCCCCTGCCCCTGCTGAGGGCAGGTGGCCCAGGGGACCGGCCAGAGGGTTGGGGTAGAAGTGTGGGGGGTAGAGAGAGGGGGGCAGCTTGGGGAAGGGGCCGGTGAGGTACGGGTTAAAGTTCCAGGGGTACTCTGGGAAGGCGCGGCCATAAGGACCCAGCAGCCCAGGGGGCTTGGAATAGCCGGTGGCACCTGGTGAGTACAGGGGACAGAGGATCAGGCCGGGCACACCTCCACTGCCGGGGCTGCCTGCAGTGTTCCACCCGGTTCTCCCCCTCTCTCCCACGTGACATCTGCCGCCCCCCACCCTGTGGTTGCCCCCAGCTCTCCCCGGGTCTCCCCATTCCTTTGGCGCCCTGAAAGCCCTTCTCCCAGGCCGTTCCCTCTCTAGTTTCCCTCCTCCCTGCCTTCCTCGAATCCTCCTGTGGCTTTTAAAACGTGCACACACACAACCTCGCCCCGGGCCTCCTTCCTGCATCCTGTCTCTCCCCATCTTTGCCCATCCTTTCCCCTCAAACACGTGCAGCATCCCCCCCCCCCGCCCCCCCCCCACCCGCAGGCTCTTACCGGAGCCCAGAAACGGGAAAGGGCTGTCCAGACGCAGTTTGTCTGTCTCAGGGGTGAACAGGGGTGCCCGGGCCCCTGGCTCTCCCAGGCGAGGGGCAGAGAACAGGGTCTGCAAGGTCTAGAGGGGGAGGGGGGAGGCAGCACCGCTCAGAGTGGCTGCCCCGCCCCCAGGGGTTGATGGCTGGCGAGGGGGGCACCAGACACCCAGTGCTGGGACCTCAGTGTCCCTAACTCACCTCAGGGGTAAGGGGAGGAGCATCTGGCCCAGAGGTCCCCCCAAAGGGACCAGGGGTCAGCAAGAGTGGGGAGCCCGTGGTGGCTGCTGCCACATCCAACAGCGGGTAGTTGACCAGCACGACTTTGCTGAAGTTGAACTTGTAGGTGAACCTCTTCCCTTTGGTCTTGTGGAGAATCCGCTTGTTGTAGTAGTAGCTAGAGAGAGAATGAGGGAATGCTGGGCACGGCCCCTAACTCACGTTCTGTGCCAGGCACGGTGCACAGAGCACTAGAGTTTGGGGGAACGGAGGCTCACAGAAGTCCCTTCAGCAAGGTCACAAGGCAAGGAAAGGGTGAAGCAGGCTGGGGCGCTGGCTTCCGGCCTTCCTCCTTGCTTCCCGTCCGCTCACAAGTAGTCACGGTAGCTACTGCGCGCTGGGAGCCGAGGGATTCTGCCCCAGGAGACTGAGGGCAAGCCCCAGGGGGTGGGGGTCGAGAGGGACAGGGAGGGGAGAAGGGGCAAGGTGCCAGCCGGCCTCTCCCCACCCCTCCTCACCGCAGGGCCCGGCTCAGCTTGTCATAATTCATGTGGGGCTTGCACTTGCGGATGCCCCAGAGCCGAGCCACCTCGTCAGGGTCCTTGATGACGAATTCCCCGTAGTCCCCCTGCCAGGCGATGACACCCTGGTATTCCTCCTTCTGCAGCAGCTCCAGGATAAAGTGCCACAGCTGGATCTGCCTCGAGCCAGGGGACGACTCCGGCTTGTAGGCCCAATCTGGGAAGGCAAACCCTGGGGACAGGAGGCAGGGGAGTGGCCCTGGGTCAGGACACCGAGGCCAGGGCTCCTGGTCCTACTTGGACTCCGGAACCGAGAGGCATCCGGTCTTCTCCCGACTCCCAGCCTCTGATGAACAGCTAGCTACCCACCCCTTGATGCCTTTAGGGACCCAATTCCTACTCTCTACCCCAGCTGGTGTCTAGTCCCCCAACTGGCCAAAGAGGCAAGAACTCCGTTGTCCGGGGACCCCGGGGTGGCACCTCCAGCCTCATCCTCGACCTTGGCACTTGAAGTCTGCCAGGTTCAGTGCCCCCGGGGTGGAGGTGGGAGGGATCAGTTTCCTGCGGCCTCGACCGTGGGGAGGAAATGGAGGGGGCAGCTTGCAGGGGAAGGGCACCCCCGACACGGGGACAGCCCTCCTCCCGCTGCTCCCTCCAGCCCTGCCCTGAGAAGCCCCCAGTCGCTCCTGCTCTCTGGAACACCCCTGACCCCTTGCTGCATGACCCCCTCCCTGTCCCTTGCCCCCTGCTCCATCTCTCCCTGAAGCCCTCCGCTGACCCCGCCCTGGGGCGGCCAGGCCCGTGTGCCCGTGTGTCTTTGCACCGGTCCATGTACTTACACTCTCACGTGCCACATCCCCTCCCACACCTGGCTCTGTCGGTCCTAGAGCAGTGTGCATAAGCGTAAACCTGCAGCACGCACACAGCCGTCCCCTCACACTCCAGGGATGCCCAGCTACACCGTGGGACACAGGTGGCCCCGAGGGCGGCGCTCCTGCTGGGGCGCGACACCTCGCCCACGACGTGCCACCACGGCGGACACACCAGATACCCGGCATCACACGTCCGTCCCAACACACAATCGTACGTCTCCGGCCCCTCGGAATCAAGACCCACTAACAACGCAGCCATGACGAGAGACGCACAGGACGCCAAAGGCCCAAATCACACACAGTGTGGCAGAACTGGCGGGTGCGGCGTCGGGACGCGTGTGTCAGCCTGACAGGCGCACGCGGGCTGAGACCACGCCTGCAGAGCGGCCTCCCAAACCCACGAGACGCAGGCACCCGCGCTCTGTAACACCCAGGGCTCGCCCCTCGGCACACGCTTCACACACACGAGTGGCCTGCACCCTGCTGTCCAAATGTGCCAAATAAGCTGGACGGAAAGGGGAGGGTCTCGCCCACCCCCGAGTCTCCCCTCCCATCCACAAGGCCCCGGGCCCACTTCTGTGCTCAATCCTGGGCCACGTCCTCTTCCTCCCTCCCTCCTCAGAGACCCCCGGGCCCAGGCCTGAGTACAGCAGACAGTATCAGCCTACAGAGAACCGAGGTTGGGGAGGAAGACAACGCTAAGCTACCTACTTGCTGTGTGGCCCCAGGGCAGGTCCTTGCCCTCTCTGGCTTAGTAGAATTTCAGCGGTAGGAGGCAAGGAGCAGCAGGGTCCCACCCAGGCTGCCTGCTGCTGGTGCGTGAGAATTGGCGCTAATGCCTTCCCGCCGCCGAGGGCTCGGGAGGCAAGGTGGTTTCCTCCCCGAAGGGAGAATTTTTCTCTCAACCCCGTTCTGGGTCTGTCTTTCTTCGGGTGATGGGGCTCAATCAGCTCGTGAGGTCCGGCCCATTCCACACCCGCTACTGCATCACACACACACACACACACACGCGACCCCGAGAGGACAGGGCACAACTGCCCCACACCTGTAGATACACGACCCAGTCCGGAACCACCACGTGCCCTCAAACACATTTCCTCAGACGGACTGGATCTGCCGGGACCCACAACGCACAACTAGAGAGGACCCGCAACTTTAGCCCGCAGACACACTGTGACAGACCCCCCCGCCAAGTTCAGTCACAGTGACCCACAGATACAAGGACCCCTCCCCCCACCACGCACACACCGACACAGAGGCCTGGGGGGGCACCCACCCGCCCACGCAGCCCGAAGTGCACCGAAACCTCCGTCCCGGACCATGACACGCACCAGGAAGTAATGGTCGAGAGCGCCTCACCCCCGAGGCAGGTACGTGCTTGGCAAGCCCACAGACACCCCCAATCCTAAAACACAGACATGCTGTGCCCAATGTCCCAAAGAAACCCCCCCACCCAGCCCAGAGACGCTCAGGTAGGGGTGTGTGTGTGTGCATGCGCACGAGCAGGCTCGCCAGCTCACACAAAGACAGACGTCGCACATACACTCTCCCAGTGCAACCACTGCTTCCAGAAGCACTGACGTGTGACGCAAGGACACACTCCGAGCCCCCAAACTAGCAGGCACAGAGTCCCAGTCTACACGCACGCACACGCGCACTCCCCATCTGTGGGGCGTGTGACTTGGGCTTAAATGCACGTCCAAGCCAGTCTTACTGTCCACATCCCCAGCTCTGAGTGTCCGCTTCTGAGCAGGCCGTCCTCTGTCCCAGGGCTCCGGCTGGCTGGACCATGCTCCACGTCCCCCTGGCCAGGCAGCCCCTGTCCGTTTGCACACCCGCGCCTGGCCTGGTGCCCCCTCTGGTCCCCGCCCTGCTCCATCACTGCCCGGGCGTCTCCAGTACCTGCCTCTCTGCCCAAGGTCCTGGGTGGGAGCAGGCCGAGACCCCAGCACCTCGGATCCCAGGAGCCTACCCCTCTCGGACCCCAACACCTCCCCTACCCTCCAAAGACCCTCACATCCCAGTAGGCAGGTGGCAGGGACATCTGGCTGTGAAGTTTTTAGCCAAGTTTCTCATTAGGGGGTTGCATTCAGGGGACCGTGACAGACCCGGACAGAGGAGGGAGGACAGGAAGAGGTGCAGAAAGGAGGAGCCAGCTGGCTGGGAGGGGCAGGAGGTCCGGGCCAGTTACCGGGGGTCCAGAGAGCCGGCAGGGCGGGCGGGGCGAAGAGAAGGTCGGAGACGCAGCTACAGTCCATGGTGGAGCCAGCCCTGCAGAGAGGCCGGGACAGACACACGGGGACAGGCGGGGGACAGGCGGGGGACAGGCGGGGGACAGGCAGGAGAGACAGACAGGGGTCAGTGGGGCGGGCGCTCCCCACGGGCCCTCCCGGCCCGCCACCCTCTCCACCCACGTCCCACGGACCCTGTCTCCCAGCCTCTCCTCCCGCAGCCTCGCCCTCACCCTGTGCCTCAGTCACTACCCACGTCGCCCCCAGCCTCCCTCCGCGCTGCTCCCACTCGCTGGCTCACTCACACTCGCTGGCTGGCCACGCCACCCGCCCGCCCCGCACCAGCTTTGCCGCCACCGCCGCCGCCTCTCCGGCCGGCTCGTGCCTGACCTCTCATCCGTCTCAGTGTCTCTGGGTCTCTGTCTATCTGGCCGCCCCAGATTTGTCTCGCTCTGAACCTCGCCCCCACCCCCTGGCCCGCCCAGTGGACCCCCCTCCTCCCCCCACCCCGGGCTGGCTCATCTAGCTCCCAAGCGGTCCCCAGCTTTCACCCGCCGGCCCAGAGAGGGCCCCCCGCCCCCACAGAGCAGACCCCAGCACCCTGAAGGAGGGATCCCACAGATGCGCCTCCCTGACCTCAGACCCCTACCACTTGCACCTGCCTCCCCCAACCTGGACAGCCCCCTCAGATACCCCTTCCCCTTAGATCTGCCTCCCCCACCCCACAGGCCCCCTCAGATCCCCTTCCCCTTAGATCCTCCTCCCCTCACCCCACAGCCCCCCCCAGACACGCCTTCCCCTTAGATCTGCCTCCCCTCACCCCACAGCCCCCCCAGACACCCCTTCCCCTTAGATCTACCTCCCCCACCCCACAGCCCCCCTCAGACCCCCTTCCCCCAGACAGCCCCCCCAGACACCCCTTCCCCTTAGATCTGCCTCCCCCACCCCACAGCCCCCCCCCAGGCACCCCTTCCCTTAGATCTGCCTCCCTCCAGGAGGCCCCCCCTCAGATACCCTTCTTCCTCGGATATGCCTCCCCTCGAGACAACCCCCTTAGACACTCCTTCCCCTAAGATCTGCCTCTCCCAAACAGCACCCCTCAGATACCACTTCCTCCTTGGATATGCCTCCCCCCTCAGATACCTGTGCCCCTATCTGCCTCCTCCCTCAGACATATTTTCTCCCTTGAATATGCCTCCTCTTTCAGACACCCCTTCCTCCTTGGACATGCCTCCCCTCTCAGGTCCTCTCTCTCAGACCCCTTACTCCTTCAGATACCCCTCTCCTCAAATACCCCCTCCCCCCTCCTCACCCGCCTCTCAGAACCTTTACCCTTCTGACAGCCTCTCCCCCGCAGATACCCCACTACACAGACACCCCCCCATGCACCCCCAGACCCTTGGACATCTGTTCCTCTCAGACACCCAGCCCTCGGGCACATCCTCCCCCTTACATACTTTTCAGCCCCTCGCCGCTCCTCCCTTTGAGACCCCACCTTTCAGAGACAGCACTTTTCTCAGACCTCCTCGTTCAGACACCCCCTTCAAATACCCCACCCCCACGACGTGCTCTTATAAGACAGCCTTCCCCGCAGACACCGCTCTCCCCAAAGACCCCGCACGGCTGCTCTGCTCCCCACAAGCCCCACCTCACCCCTTGGACGGCAGACAAGAGTTGGCAGATGGCCCATTCCCTCCAGACCTGCCGGGTCCCCACGGGTCCCCACGGGCACCCAGGCGGCCCCCCCCCCCGCCACCCGGTGTCCACCGCGTCTCTCCCACACGGTCCTCTCCATCACTCAGGCCCCCGGCCACCTCATCTGCCTCCTCAGGGTCCCCCCTTCCTGCGGCCACTGTGCCCCCACACCCCCATGTCCCCTGTCTCCCATCCAATCTCCCCAACTTTCTCTGTTGCCCTCCCTGTCTCTTCCCCCCCGCCCCCCCCACTCTTCTCTCTCATCTCCTCCTCATCTCTTTTCCTTTTTTCCATCTCTCTCCTCTCTTTCCTTGTCTTCCTCAACCCAGGGGGTCTCCTCCCATCCTTTCCCACCCCCTCTCCCCAACCCCTGTGCCCCCCCCCACCTCCCTCGGGTCTCTCCCATCTCTGGCTTCCCCGCGCCCCATCCCCTCCGTCCCTTCTTCCGCCGGCTCTCCCCTCTCCCCAGCTGTGCCACCACCCCGGCTCGGGCTCGCTCGGCCCCCAGCCCGTCCCGCCTCAGTCTCCCCATCTCCCTCCCAGCTCCGGCTCCGCACCTCGCCGGCCACCTCTCTCCCACCTCCCGCTCGCTCTGCCTCTCCGGGTCCCCCTCCCTCCTGCCTCCGCCCCCGCCCCCACCCCCACTGGCCCCTCTCATTTCCGTGTTGGTTTTGATTTCTCTTCCCGACGCTTTCAACTCCCCGCCGCCTCCTCCGGACACGTTATAACGAGGAGCCGTGGGATCGGCGCTCCGGGCCCTGCTCCCACGCTCCCCCCCCCCCCCCTCGCCCACGCATCTCTGCCGTCTCGCCATCTCTGCCTGCCCCTTCTCTGTCCCCGTCTCTGTCCGGTCAGGCCCACAGGGACTGGGTCCCTGCCCTGACGGACAGGGTCCACAGCACCACGTCTCAGGGTCCCCACGTCTCTCTCTGGGTCCCCACGTCTCTCCACGTCTCTCCTCCCCACGTCCTTGTCTCTCCGTCTCTGTCTCTGTCTCCATCTCTGTCTCCGCATCTCTGTTTCCGTCCCACTGTCCGTCTCTTGTCTCTTGGGGTCCCTTTGATCTTGCCCTGCCCCTGGCGCCCCCCTGGCCCCATTGATCGCCGATCGACCGGTGGAAGGAGTGGGCCTGCGGGGCTGGGGCTGCAGAGCCAGGCAGGGGCCCGGTTAGGACGCTGGACAGACGGACAGCCGGCCCCAGACCCGGTAGCTGTGGAGGGGGAGCCGCTGCAAACCCCCGCCCCGCCCCGCCGGTCCGCGCCGTGCGGATGGGGACTCCGGGCCAGCTTTAATTTTTAATTTTATTTTGCTTCCTTCGCCCCCCCCCACCCCCCATCTCCACCGCCTGCAGCCACGGCACTGAATGTGTGCTTGTGCGTGTGCGTGCAGCAGTGTGGGGAGAGGGGCTGGGCAGGCAAGACGCTGCCTCTCCCCTCCTCGCCAAGCAGTCACACAGACCCACAATCCGGCCCAGGCACACTTCACACAGACTCACACGGCACCCTCGGCACCCCCCACCCCATGTCATACACAACACACAGACACGCAGGTCAAAACAGCCACACGCCCCGTGACCGTCACACACACACACACACACACACACACACACACACACACAATCACGACGCTCACAGACATTCACAGAGGAACACACGGTTGTCTAGGGATACACACACCACCTTGATCCCACCCGGAAGCAGAGACACACAACCGTGGACAGAAACACACTGACACAATCGCACGCAGACACGCAGACTTACGAGCGCGCACGGACACGGGGCCACACCCACCCAGGCACACACACACCAGCACAGCCAAGCCAGGGACACAAGGGACACACGCAAGGGACACAACAGCTGCACACAGTGCCACACGCACCAGCACCAGAGACCCTGTGTCACACACACGGTGACACAGACACACACGTGGCACCGATACAGCCACCATGAGACCGCACGCGCACACACACACACACACACGCACACGGACCAGCCCGCCCAGCAGCACGCTCACACCCAGAGGCCAACTGGGTGACGGGCTGTGTCGCGGCGAGGCGGGCACTCGGAGGTCAAGCCGCCGTCTGTCCGGCTGTCTGTCCACCCGTCCCCCCGCACTTCTCCAGCGCGTGTCTGCGTGTAGAAAGCGGGCACCATCTCAGGCCTACGTCTGCCTCTGTCTCTCTAGAGATGGGGCTCCCGGCCTCAGGCCCACGGGCTGGCGGGGTCTGTCTCACAGAGGTCTTTGTTGTTCCCTCTGTCCGCCTGGAGCTCCAAGAGTCTCAGGTTCTGCGGTTCTGGTCTCTGTCTTAGGGCGTCTCTGTCTCTCTCTGTCTCTCCACATCTCTCCTCGCCTCTGGTCTCCTCACCCCCACCCCCCCCCCCCCCCCCAGCACCCCGGCCCCCTGGGCTGGGGTTTAACCAGTTGTCTTGATTTCTCTAAGCTGCTCCGGCCGCCTCGGGAGCCGCCTCGGGCCTCACCCCCCCCACCGCCCCTTCATCCCTCACCCAGCACCCCCTCCCCTTAACACAATCTGCACAAGTGGAATGAAAATTGATTTTTTTTTTAAATTTCATATCTTCTCCGGGGCTCTGTCTAAAGAGGAGAGAGACGCGGCCCAAGACCCTTCTCCCGCTGCCGCCCCCGCATGCGCACACGCACACACACACCAACAGGCACACACCTCACAGCTAGACACACACACGTATACACCCTGACCTTCCGTCTGCACCCGCGCCGGGGACACGCCCCTCCCTAGGCCACACGCCCACGCGGGACACATCAGTGCACACGGCGGACACACGGCAGACTCTCGCACCACCCTCTCCAGGCCTCCACCGGTAGGCACGCGTCGCGCACCGTGCGCCCTGTCCCCTCCGGCCGCACACGGCCCAGCCGCCTGCTGTCGCACGCTACCTGCGCGCGTGCTCGCACACGCACCTGCCCACATCTGTGCGCACACGGGCCCGAAGGCGGTCTCACCGCAGGCACCAAGGGGGCCTCTGCGGCTGTCCCGAGGAGGACTGGGCCAGGAAGGGGACGGGGGGGCTTTCCTGCCTGGACTTGCCCGCCCCCCCATCCCCAAGGTCACCCCCACTCCCACCCCTGCCCGCATCAACCAAATGCTTCAGCCTGCCCCCGGGCGGGGGCGTCTCTGTGTCTGGGGTGCGTGAGCGCACGTGTACGTACGTTCGCACACAAACACGCCGCTGGCTGCGTCTCTCCAGGCCACACGCCGTCATCCCCACAACAGCCTGGCTCATTTGAGAGCTAGCGCATCTCCACACGGGCACACAAAACGCGCAGGGACAGACGGGGCGCCTGAGCGGCTCGGTCGGTTAAGCATCT